TCAGGGGGCCGTGCGCGGGAACCACGAACCCCCGGGGGCTGAATTTGAAATCTTTAAGTTCTGTAGAGACGGGGAACATAATCCCAAAATTTCAGCTTTCTAGCTTTTCTGGTTCTCGAGTTAGCGGTTTTCCCGCCAAAACTTTAACCCCTTCGTACGCGAGGCCTAGGTGGCCTAGGCGTACCTGAGGGTTGGTACCGCGGTCCTGGGGTGGAACTTGGCCGGGGAATCCACTCGCAAAATTTTGGCGCCGGAGCTTGCTTGGGTGCCGAGTTGAAATACCCGGACACACACACACACATACACACACACCAGGGTCGTCGCAATATGCGTTTTCGCATTTGCATATTATGCAAGAACGCATAATAACGGAACGCTAGAATCAAGCGCTTCTGCTACGAGCTATCGCGAAGGATAGAGGTTGCAAGATCCAAAAGTGCTTCTATCGCCAGAACTGTTCAGCTAATAATCCTTTCAGAAAATGAAACAAATATAACGACTGCCAGCAAGCTGTCTACTGGGCGATGCAGCATTAATCAAAACAACTGGAAAAGTTACTGGCTGAAGAGTTGGACACTGACGCTGTGAAATGCAGTTGACGCATTATTTCTCATCTAAGCCGTTATCTAAGAGCACATATAAGTAGTGATGAGGCAGACTATTTTTAACTGATAACAAACCATATTTTCGGGCTGCAGCAGTTCGCTCATTTTCTTCATTAGTTTTGAAACTACTGGCTTTAAGATCACTTTGATAAGGATTCCTTCGATTCCCTTTAGCCCCTCGTTGAAATTATTCCGATAGGAGGGCACCGAGCAATCAGGTACTGTACTTTGTCGTCGTGGCGACGAATTACTCCGCGGACGGCTCATCCCTGCTGCAAATATACTTATGAACACTAGAGCCGTTCTAAGAAGTGGCAGTTTGCGGAAAGGCACAGTCGTAACGACGTGGAAGTTTATCAAAGCAGAATTAATGAGACACTTTCATACCGAAACTCATATACCTGTAATGCTTTTTTTGATGCTTTTTTGCATTTTAACAAACGTGCATGTATGTCTGTGTGCGCGCGTGTATGCATGTACGGAGTATATTTGTGACTTTCACCATTTCCAGCTTTTTAGCCAGATTACCCAGAAAGCAAAATTTGAGAAATTTTTAATTCTACATCAGCCCAGAATCGTAAAATGAGCATCGTAACTTCGTTAGAATGCAGGATATGGTATCAGGTAAATCTGAGTCAAATTTCCCCACACCGGTAAATTTTTGCATTTGTAAACGTCATGCGGATCTAGTGCCGATTTCTGAACGAAAAAAAAATACTGGTCTCATATTGTGCGCCGCTATAAAACTTTTACCCCAACACGCCTCAAGCTGCGTTGTGAAAGAAATGAGATGACCGTAAATCTATTTTGGTGCTGATCAATAAATAGTGGCACAGTTTCTCTCGTCTGGAAAACCAGCTGGCAAGCATTCGTTTCATATCTAACCTGTAATATCGGATCTGCAAAAGCCCGTTACGGAGTGTAGCGTGTCGATTAGCACTTGGATATTACATTCTTCGATATGGCTAACTAGCAACTGAGCAAAGCCATCCTGATCGATGCGGTGTATTATTGCCAAAATAGTCCGAGCTTTTACTCTTAGGAAGTCGCCTTGCGAAGTGCGTAAGCCATCGTTGCAGCCATGTGGGCATCCTAACCACAGATATATTCTGGAATTCATCGTGAAATGATTTCGATGTGGTGGTTATTCTGGCTCATTTACTGCTGAGATTGTCTCTTAAATAACAATGAGCCAAACAGCACATGAAACTGAAGTTCGAAGGCTGAAGCCAGTGGCACAACCAGAATTTTTTCATAACAATCATTGCCAAAACAACATTTTGACAAACTTAGAAGGGATTAGACAGGAAAAGTTATTTTGAAAATAATGATTTAGCGTTTTCGATGCATTTAATTTGAAAAAAAAAAAATGATTACAAATAAAACCCATGTTGCAACGCACAGGCTTGTCGGTACGATCATGCTTTTTTGCGCTAAGCTTCCAAATCGATAGCAGCAGAAATGATTCCTGTGCTGTACTTTAACGCTCAGACTCATATTGGCTGTTCTTTGGCTTCTTCCTGCACGCAGGAGAAAGAGCGACGGCTGGATGCGGATGCTGCATTATAGGACCGCATGGACCTGTAGTGGACATGATTATCCGTTTAGAAACGCTCGAGCCCACGTATGGGATGTGAAAATTTTGGCGCGAAAACTACTAACCCAGGAACGGGAAAAGTTAGGAAGGTGAGACTTTAAGGGGATGTTCCCTGCTCATGTACGAGCAAAATAAGATGTTTAGAGGCGCCCGTGCCCAGGTACAAGCGCTTGGAAATTTTGGTGCGAAAATCATTAACCCAGGAACGAAAAAAGCTAGAAAGCTGAAACTTCAGGGTTATGTCCCCTTTCCATGTATGACCAAGAAATTTTAAATTCAGCTCCTTAAAACAGTCCGGTACTCACGTACGGACACGTGAAAATTTTGATGGGAAAACTGTTAACTCGGGAACGGGAAAAGCTAAGGGCTTTAATTTTAATGGTATGTTCCCTGCTCATGTGCGACT